GCTGTATTCTTGGTGCTTATAAAACTATCAATAAAGATATGAGCAAGGCCTCACCTTAATTCCAAAAAAAAAAAAAAGCAAAATGCAGGAGGTTTGTGAAGTATATGAAGTAAGCAAAATACAAGAAGTTAGCAAAGCACGTAAAGTAAGCGAAATAGGAGATGTCAGTGAAGCACGTGAAATCAATGAATCAGGGGAAGTAAATGAATCAGGTGAGGTAAATGAATCAGGAGAAGTAAATGAATCAGACAAAGTAAATAGATCAGGCAAAGTAAATAGATTAGGCGAAGTAAATGAATCAGGCGAAGTAAATGAATCAGGCGAAGTAAATAAATCAGGTGAAATAAATAGATCAGGCAAAGTAAATGAATCAGGAGAAATAAATGAATCAGGTGAAGTAAATAAATCAGGTGAAGTAAATGAATCAGGCAAAATAAATGAATCAGACAAAATAAATGAATTAGGCGAAGTATATGAATTAGGTGAAGTAATTGAATCAGGTGAAGTATATGAATTAGATGAAGTAAATGAAGAAAGCATGATTCTTTTAGAAGATTATGTTTTAATAAGAATACAGATACTTTAGGTGCAATGTCAGTAAAAGTCAGTGATTCATTTGAGGATTTTACACGTGCGGAGAAAAAAATACGACAGTATGCAGAGTTTAAAGGGTTTAAGATACGGTTGGGTCGGTCTACTGTAATAGAATCAGAGAAAATAATGTGAAAAAGAATGATTTATTGTCAGCATTCTAGGCAGTATAAAGCAAAAAATCCAGAAAATCCTGGAACTTTTATTAAACAAGGTTGTAACTGGCACATTAACCTTTCATGACCACTTCAGAACAATAGCAATTTTCTTGTCTATGTAACAACTTTAGAAGATAAATATACCCACAAAATGTCCATTGAAGCATTACAGTTTGAAAAATTAAAGGCATTTACAAAAGATATGCGTGATGATATCAAGTTTTATATGAAAAAATATAATTTTGGTGCAACTACAATTAAACGGATTCTAGGTTAAAAATATCTATCACATCTAATTTATTCTCAAGATCTCTATAATGAGATTAAAAGGCACAAGCCATCCGCATGATTAATTGAAGGTGACGCTGCCTAGTTTTATGAAAATTTGTTAGCTAAGCAACATGAGGACCCCAGTGGTTTGTAGAAGTAAAATGGGAAATTGATACATATACACTTGTTGGTATTTTTTGGATGAGCCCAGATCAGATTTTGTTATGGTCTGAATTTGGAGACTCTATTGGGCATGACAATACTGCAGGCACAAACTGATATAACATGCTATTATCACTTTTTGTTGTATTAGACAATAACATGCAGTATTAAATTGTAGCACAAGTCTTAATTAGTGATGAGACCAGTGATTCATATAAATGGGTGTTATACATGACAAAAAAAGCAACACAAGGGAGAACATCTAATGTAATAATTACTGACAGGGATCTCACCATGGAACATGCAATTATTATTGAATATCCACAGGTTCGGCACCTCCTCTGTATTTGGCATATAAAAGAGAATCTCAAAAAAGCACTTCATGGAAAGTTGGGTAATGCATTTTCTGATTTTTATTCAGCATTTTGGCAATGTCAAAACAGTGATCTTTCTGAAATTTTTAACCATTATTAGAAAGATATTATTACCAATTACCTGGCTGCATCACAATACCTTGAAAATCATTTATATGAAAGACATAAATTATGGGCACGTGGGTTTTCGACAACACTATTTATACTTGGAATCGAATCAACATTATTTGTGGAAAGCCAGAACGCCTGCATAAAACGCATTCTTGAAAATAGTAATACTTCTCTTTGTGAACTTGGCAAGGTTATTATGAATCAGATTGAAGGACAGACAAGGCAAAAATATTTTGAAGATTGGAGGCGAAGCATTCCTTCAACAACCAATACTGTTACAGTTTTTCCAACTATTGAAACACTCATTAGATGTTATTTAAGGCCAAATGTCTTACAATATTTGATTAATCAGATGAAGGAAAGCATTTATTACACAGCAACTCGTTCTAGTATTGAAGATATCAAAAGTATGCCAGTAAATGAGCCATCTCAACATGAGTATCTTGAAGACGAATTCGATAGTATATCTATGTATGCTCAATTTCTTTTACAACAATTAAATAATGTTAATATCATTGAAGTTTGGAACATCTCTCGAGTCACAAGTTCTAATATAAATCATGTTATATTTTGCTTAAAAGACAGATTATATTGTTGTATATGTTTACTGCAACAAAAAAGGGGACTTATTTGTCGACACTTTTTTCATTTATTAAATATTACACAAACTGCTTGATTTAATATGCAGCTTATTGCATCCAGATGGATTCCTAAAGAATATCATCATAAGGTAACAAATGAATGTAATTATTTCGGGCAAAGATTTGTTAATAGTGTTACAAAGAATAATGAGAATAGGTGTAATCAGAGGTTTAACTGGATTCAACCACTTAATAATATAAATGAACAAAATCATAATGAAGATTTTGTTGAAGAATTGTTATTCTATGGGAGAGTATGGGGCTTGGCACGAACAGCTACACAAAAATGTTTATTACACCGTGATAAGGAGTTTGTCACTATTGTTGAAAACTATTTGGCAAATATACGTGAATGTGAAAGCAATCTTATTCGAATAAACAGACAGCATAAAGATTCAAATTTAGATAGTGATTCAGATAAAGAGAATGTTCAACTTAAAAATCTGTGTAAAATTACTACTAAAGGTAGACCTAAATCAGTTCATTATGACAAGTCACATAAGGGGATAAAAAACATAATGCAAAAATCAACACATGGAAGACGGAAGCATAGTCAAAATCGTTGTGGTTATTGCAAAGAACTAGGTCATAACATTGTCACGTGCCTTAAAAAGAATGCAGAGCAAACAAGTAATGAAGAGCAAACAAGTAATGAAGAGCAAACAAGTAATGAAGAGCAAATAAGTAATGAAGAGCAAACAAGTAATGAAGAGCAAACAAGTGATGAAGAGCAAGAGTAATAATATGTGATCTTTTTGTTTCATAGTATAGCATGTATTATGGCTTTAGATTATGGTTTTATGCTTGATATTATAGGTGTATGTCTTGAAATTTCATAATAGGCAATTTTATTTGATTGAAAATTGCATATGTATAAGCTTATTATATCGTTTGTTCAAAAAAAGGTACGTATGTACGTATGTACACGTACAGTACATATGTTATTTAATAGCGAATTGTTTGTTGAACATATCTCAAACTTGTTCAAATAAAGTCTTACAAATATTTTACATTCCTTTTTTGAGTTTGTAATATAATCATATATGTACGTATAAATAAATTAAGTACAAATATACGTATATACGTACATTTGTACATATCAGATATTAGTATTACTTTTTTTGGTATATATTGTTACAGGGTTGTAGCCTTCTTAGTAAAATACAACCAGTGATTGACTTTTGCAAATATACACAGAGTGGATGTGTAGTTGTTTATTTAACTACACAGCAGGAAGCAAACGGTTCGAGATAGTAACAGTATATAGAATAACTTTATTTTATGCAAGAACACAGGATAAACCTTGCCTATAGGAATTACCCTAGAGGGGAAATATCATATTTACAAGAAGAGTATAAAGAGAACAGAGTCTAGGTGAAGTATAGAAACTTATAGAATTGGCAGAGAGAGGAAAAGACACCCTTTATATATCTTTTTACTCATAGAGAAGATACACAATGCACAGTAAATGAGTAACACTTGGCAGGGGAAGAAGGGGAACTTGTGTAGAGGAAATAAAGGATTGTGTTGGGTGAAGAAAGTGATTGTGCTGGGTGAAGAAGGTGAATATAAACATTATTCATCATGTTTATATTTATTTACATCTTGTGTAGGGGAATTAGAGGACTTTGCTGCACAGTATTTTGTGTTTAAAACATTTAGAGTTTGTGCAGAGGGAATTAGATGTTTGTGTGGAGGAAGAAGGTGTTCATGTGGGGGAAGAAGGTATTCGTGTGGGGAAAGAAGGTGAACTTGTGTTACTTTCTTGTATAACACTTTTGTGTAACCCAAAGGATTTTCTTGTATAACCTTGTATCACCTGAGGTCATGTAAGATCATGTGACTGTGCCACACTTCCAATAGCCAATTAAAATGTTTCTATATTAATACTATATAATATTCTATCTAAATATATATAAAACTAATATATAATAATATAATAAATATATCCAATATTTTAACTATATAAAAATGCAAATATTTTAAATAATAATAACTAAAAATAACTAAATAATATTTAATAATATCTATACTAAAAATCTACTTTGTAACAGTATAACGCAGTGTTGTCACTCAGACCGGACTTGGACTCGGACCGGACCGGATTCGGACCGGACTCGGACTCGGACAACTAATCTCGTCCGCCAGACAAATCTAACTTTATAATAATAACGATAACGATAATAATATTATGTGTAACATCTTGTAGACTATGTATATGTATTCATATGTGTTATTCGATCTTTCTAATCATTAAACTTTTACTTTTTTTTATTTTTGCTTACTTTTCCATTTTCGCTTACTATCTTTTTTCTTTTTTTGTTTGCTTTTTACAAAAATGCGTGAGTAGCTTTATAAGAATCTGCATAAATAAAAAAAAACCTTATTTTCTCTTAGGTTTCGTTTCATTGGTTTCGAGATTACAACCGGGGGCTTTAAATAAAAAAATATTAGTCTTTTTTTTTGTTTTTTAGCTAACTTTTTTTTTCTCTTTAGGTTTCACTTCAGGTTTCCTTCAGGTTTCTTTCATGTTTCGCCTCATTAGTTTTGGGATAGAGAACTGAGCTTTAAATAAGATAAGTACTGGTCTTCTCTTTGTTTCTTTTTTAGTTTTTTTTTTTCTTGCTAACTTTTTTTTTTTTTTTAGGTTTCGCTTCATTGATTTCGGAATTAGGAACTGGGCTTTACATAATATAAGTACTGTTCTTCTCTTTGTTCTTTTTTTAACTTTTTTATTTTCTTGCGAACTTTTTTTTTCTTTAGGTTTCGTTCAGGTTTCGCTTCAGGTTTCCTTCACGTTTCGCTTCATTGGTTTTGGGATCGGGAACTGGGCTTTAGATAAGTACTGATCTTTTCTTTGTTATTTTTTTTTTTTTTTGCTAACTTTTTTTTTTCTCTTTAGGTTTTGCTACATTGATTTCTGAATCGGGAACTAGACTTTACATAAAATAAGTATTGGCTGTTCCTTTGGTTTTTCTTTAGCTTTTTTTTTCCTTGCTAACTTTTTTTTTCTTTAGGTTTCGCTTCAGGTTTCCTTCATGTTTCGCTTCATTGGTTTCAGGATCGGGACTGGGCTTTAAATAAGATAGGCACTGGTCTTCTCTTTGTTTTTTTCTTTAGCTTTTTTTTTTTTTCTTGCTAATTTTTTTTCTTTAGGTTTCATTCAGGTTTTCTTCATGCTTCGCTTCATTAATTTCAGAATCAGGAACTGGGCTTTACATAAGATAAGTACTGGTCTTCTCTTTGTTCTTTCTTTAGCTTTTTTTTTTCTTGCTAACTTTTTTTTTCTCTTTAGGTTCGCCTCAAGTATCGCTTCAGATTTTCTTCAGGTTTTCTTCAGGTTTCCTTCAGGTTTCGCTTCATTGGTTCAGAATCGGTAAATAAGATAAGTACTAAGTACTAGTTTTCTCTTTATTTTTTTTTTCTTTCTAATCTTTTTTTCTCTTTAGGTTTCGCTTCAGATTTCGCTTCATTGGTTTCAGGATCAGACTTTAAATAAGATAAGTACTGGTCTTTTCATTCTTTAGCTTTTTATTTCTTGCTAACTTCTTTTTCTCTTTAGGTTTCGCTTCAGGGTTCGCTTTATTGATTTCGGGATTGGGCTTTAAACAAGATAAGTACTAATCTTCTCTTTGTTCTTTAGTTTTTTTTTTTTTTTTTGCTGACTGTTTTTCTTCTTTAGGTTTTCCTTCAGGTTTTGCTTTATCAGTTTCGGGATTGGGCTTTAAATAAAATAAGTATTGGCTTTCTCTTTGTTTTTCTTTAACTTTTTTTTTTTTTGCTAATGTTTTTTCTTTAGTTTTTGCTTCAGGTTTCGCTTCATCGGTTTCAGGATTAATAACTAGGGCTTTAGATAAGTGCTGGTTTTTCTCTTTGTTTTTAATTTTTTTTTTTTACTAATTTTTTTTTATCTTTAGTTTTGCTTCAGGTTTCGCTTCATTGGTTTCGAGGCCAACGACTAGGCTTTAGATAAGATAAGTATTAGTCTTTCTCTTTGTTTTTTATCTTTTTTTTCTTTACTAAATTCTTTTTTTCTCTTTAGGTTTCATGATTAGCATTATAAGTTCAGCTTACGAAGACGTGTTGAGGACATTCCGTCGTCATTATGGCATAACAGTAGTTGAGTTCATTACATAGGTTGTAGGGAATTATAGTGTAATCGATAGTCAGGTTCGCTATGCGGGGTTGTAATTATAGTGTAATCGATAGTCGGGTTCGTTATACGGGTTGTAATTATAGTGTAATTGATAGTTGATTAATAAATAAATGTTAGCATTAGTGTGTGAACGATAAATTCATAGTACAAACTCAGACATGTCCATGTCCGAGTGTCCGAGTCCGAAATATATTACTTGCGGATATTGTCCGAGTAACAATAAATTCACTTGGACAAAATTCAGACTTAGACATCGGACAATATCTGAAAATGTCTGGTCCGCCAAATTTGGTGCGGACATTAAAAATTGACAACACTGGTATAATGTATACAGCATAAGAAAATCGATAAAACTACTTTTAGAGTTTATACCTGGTTTTACAAAACCTGATTAAAAAGAGAAGACCAGTTTTAAGTTTTACTATTCTTATGCATTAATATAAAAGCATAAATTAGCATGATTGAGTTGCGATCATATGATTGGTCATATCGCCTGAAAATTTCTGCTTTCATATGGCATCTGACCAAATTCTTTAAGTTCGTTTAAGGCAAATGTTAGGGTTAGTATTTAGGAGTTTTAATAGTAAAATCGTTCAAAGAAAACCTTTTATTAATGTACAGAAGGTAGTTTCCTATATGAATTTTTGTTATAAGCGATTTTTACTAAATAAACAGTTGTTTTAATTATGTAATATTACACAAAATCTTATCTAATTTTGTTATAGATATATTTATAAAATTAGCCAATAAAAATTATTTACTGTTATCATATGACTAGGAGGTGCACTGCAGTGCAGGTGCACTAATTTACAAAACCCTTATTATTTTATCTTTGGAAAATTTTTATAGGAATATTTTCGTTAAAACCTATCATTACGCCTAATATTTTACAAATTTATACCTCTGACAATTATTATCTAAATATGGTAATTGTAACAATCAAAAATAGAACAACTGAAAAATTTTATATATTATCAATTATAATAGAGTAGTAATAATCTACAATTGTTGCTAGCAGCCATAGGTTTAATACCACTGATAGATTGCAAACTCTGCCAACGGGTCATGATTATAGCATCTGCACTACAATAATTCTTTTATAATTTTTATAATTTTGCAGAGAAAAATTTTCTAAGGAGGGAGTAGTATAATTGATAATCCGCCTATAAACTAGAGAATAGGTGAAATGAGACGTCTGCCATCTAAAACTTTTTTCTTACTAAGTTAATGACATATGCCCATTAATTGAAAATTGTAGAGCTCGTCAAGACGCATTTAATGGTGGTTAGATCATCCAAATCAGCCCAGTGGATGGCAAGATATTGTCGAAATACGATTGGCTGACTATATAAAAATCTGTGACGGAAATTTTTCATACTAAGTTAATGACACATGCCCATTAATTGAAAATTGTAGAGCTCGTCGAGACGCATCTAATGGTAGTTAGATCATTCAAATCGGCCTAGTAGATGGCGAGATATCGTCAAAAAACAATTAGCCGACTATATAAAATCTCTATATAAATAAATATTGTTTACATAGAGATTTTATATAGTCGGCCAATCATTTTTTGACGATATCTCG